ATTAACAAAATAAAACTGATACCATATTATCCAAATTGACAGCACTCTCTGGTGACCAGCAGTTTAATGCTATAAATTTTTCTAAATGAGCCACCTTTAGCCCTGATGTGGCCTGAAGGTTGGAAGCAGGAGTCAGAATGAGAATGAAGTGGTGGCATGACTCATGAGCGTGCAAGCAATAATTCATAGACTATCACCTCTGAAGAAATCTCTGCGTATAGCCCTTACTGAGTAATGATCTAAAGTATTAGAGTCAGGTGAGAAAATTCCAGAAGAAAAGCTGCCAGTTCTCTTCCGAAGAGGCTTTCCCACATGGCAAACAAACATCATGAAAAATACAAGTTTCTGTTTCCTCAATTACAACCCACCTAGTCTACTCAAAGTTACAAGAGTACTTGTGGATAAATTGGAAAACGCCGAGATTTTTCTCTGAAAAAGGTACCATGTAACATTAACATTTCACAATTTTCTTCCTTATTTTGGACAGCCAATGTTGATTACTGCACAGAAATTTACACTAAAAACAAAAGTCAGGTCTGTGTCAGATGAGCCTAACTTAATCTGGATCAACATTGTAAAACTTGGTGGAATGCTGGTAGGAGAAGATCAAAGCAGAATGATTTGTTTAATGTTTTTCTTAGTTTTCAAACTATTAATTTACATGTACCCTGAGCAGATCATTCCAGCTGGATACATCAGTGAGCACCTTCGCATGCATGTTAGGCACTGCTAGTGATAGCACTGCTCCTTTCTGACACAGGGTAGTGTGGAGGGGGAAAGGGTCCCATTATTCTCAAGGCCTGAAGGAAGGTTATCAATAGGGCCAGTAGACAGAAAGGGACAGGGATCAAAAGAGAGACACGCAGTAGCCTGCAAAATACTTCATTAAATTTCTAAGTCCTCCAGCCCATCTAATTTAGCTCCCTCTGCAACTGTTGAATCAGCCTCTAATCTCAAAGTAAGAAAGTTCTGCTATTCACATTGCAATCCTCTCAAGCCTTAAGCAAGAGGTGCTATGGTTGATTTGATCTGTTACTATCCAAAATTTTTTAAAGAAAAAAATTTTTAGGACTATTCTACAGGACTAATAAGAAAAAAAACTTGAGAAGCAGAAAGAAGACTATTTCAATGTCAAAATCTTGAAAGGAATAGGATAAGAAAAAATGTGATATAAGCAGCACTTACAAAAGCTTCAGACTAAGAGAAAATGGTGGCAGTTGGGGGTGGGGAAAGATTTCCTTTTCCCTCACTGACCAACCTCACAAAACTTGATTTTTCTGTTTGCTTTATATTTTTCAGAATCATAATTTCAGGTTTGGCTACAAAATAAGCCCCTTGCATTGTGACACGTGGCCCACATTCTGCTCTCTGCCTGAGCAGAGTTCTGAAGGAAACTGGTGTTATTGATATCACCATTAGTAATAATAATAAAATTATTCACACCCAACTCACATGATTCTACCAGAAGCAGCCACTGTATATGAATGAGTCAAAACATCAAAGATTTTTTGTTTTGATTTAAATGTGTAGATGTTCACCAGATAGGAAAATTACTGCAACAAGGAAAAACAGTTAACAAAGAAAATTAAATGTGCCAGCAAATTCAATATATTATTTCAAAATTTACAGTTCAAAGAATGATAGTCTGATGAGGAAAAATCAGTACTGGTAAGGAAGCACTCCAAAGTGACCCTGTGATTGAAAGGCTGCAAGCTTCTTTGAAAACATCTCCCACAGATGTTAACCTGTGATGAGCTGAAAGATAGTTAGTTGGTGGATAAGCAAGAGGGCTTTTCCATGGCTGCAATTGAGAGACCACTCAGTATGATTGTTAATGGTCTTGAGTTTTTGATTACAGAGATCCAGACAAAACTCACTAACCATTTGCTAACCACAGAGAAAGGTTGCTTCTTCCTAACATAGTGACCTCGAAGTCTGCCCACAGAAATCATTAGTCTGACTTCACCGCAAAGTGAAATTCTGCTTTACAAAACAGACAAACTGCTCCTTCTAATGTAGTCATAAAAAAAGCTGCTTGATAACTGGAGAGTGGAGTAGAGATAAAAAGAGGAATTAATAAAATACCATATCTTGAAAAAAATAATAGCTACAGGAAGGACTTGCAAATATCAAAGCACTACTAAAGTATTACCCACTAGGGATACCACAACACACTTCTAAAAGAAATAATGCCTTTTCACATTTGAAAAATTTGTCTAAACCTCAACTCTAATTCCTACATGGTCTCCCTTGGGCCCCAACTTTCAAAAATAAATCTTTGCCATATGATTGTACTGTTCACTGAGATACAAGGGGCTCTCTCTATTTCTGTCAAGGGGGCCAGCAGTCAATTAAATTCAGTCTGTTCTCTGCAAGAAGACAGCTCTATAAAATACCATCAGGGTTGCAAATAAGCCCCCTCATTTTTTATTATTCCTTCTGTTCGAAACACATTTGAAATTAAGTAAGACTAGGACCACGTTGGGCTTCTCTCTTGCTCTTTGCAGAAACATTATTGATACATATGAACAGAGTTAATGGAGGAATTACTAATTTTTTAAAAATTCACCCTAGCTAATTAACTAACATGCACAAGCATAGTTACACAATTGGAAAATGAAGGAACCCAACAGATTTTTGGAAGCCTCTAGAATTTTGAGACTTAAAGTTAGCACATAATGCATGCAATACACAGAGAGGAAGCTCCGATTTGGGCTTTAAAAAAAATCCATTGCCTTTCACCAAATTGTGTTCCTAAAAAGTTAGAGTAAGGAAAAGTAAAAAAGTATTTTATTTTTTGGGTTGGAACTGGTTGAGTCCTGATTAAATTGATTAATTTTTAATAAACTTACTCAAAGTTTTCTGTATCCTAGAAATAGAAATTGTCAACCCATATGACAGAAACATCAGTTTCCCCTTTTACTAGACTCTCATACCTATTTCAGCAACCAGAAATCAGGAAAGATGAAATAATTTTGTACTTTTTTGGGGTACTGCCAAATTCTCACTAGTTGAACAGTGTTAAGGAAGAATTAAGCTATGATGATCTTCCTGTTAGAGAAGTGTTTTCCATTAAGACTTAGAATAAAATCACCACACTTACTATAAAACTGATTGAAAGAACTTTTTGCTCTCTGTAGCTTCTTGCTAGAAATTTAGGCTGTATTTTTGAAGACTCATATTCCTAAGCAAACAACAGTTTCCTCTCTGCAAATTGAGGAGTAGGACATGCAGAAGATGGAAGTTTCCAGGGATTGGGTTTAGCATCACGGCAGGTCAGGAAACACCTTAGACATTTCCTCCCAGATTAGAAGAGGGATTTCACACTTGAGACCACCGTAAGATAAAAAATAACCCTATTAAGTAAATCTGTTATCATAAAATGAAGACCTTTTATACCCCGCTGTAACCCATCACAAAATAAACACTCTAAATTCCCTGGAAAAGGCTTTGATGATATTAAAAGGATCCTGAAAATCCCCTATCGCAAACCAAAAAAACCTGATAGAAGGAGAAGCCTAAGAAGAAATTATTTCAGCGACATCAGGAAAATACTATTTTATGAAATCATATACTCTTCCTTTCTTTTCTAAAGCTGTGGTATCAGAACAGAAGCACAAATTAAAGGAGGAAAATTGTTAGATTTTAAGTTAGCAAACAAGTTTGTTAAGGCTCACAGATTTTTGAAGAAGTCGCAGATAAAAAAAAATAACAAGGGATACCCAGAATAAGATACAAGTCCTTGTCGTCCTCAGCACCTGACCTACGACCTGAGTAATTCACCAGGCAGTACTCTCACAGATAAATGAAAATCCTAACTTGCTGAGAAAAAAAAATCAACATGATCTCCAAGAAACTAAAAAACTGCAGTAAGGAAGAATTTTTAATAGCAAGATGAAATTGCTGGCTACTTTCCTCATGCCCTAATTAAAACTCTGGGGCAAGATTATGGCTCATAGGTCACATGCAGTTCTTACTCAATTTGTTACCACCAGCAACTCATGATTTTAACATGTAAGAAAATGAAGGAATGCAAGGAAGTGTTTCACTCCTTCCTCCCCGATACAGATTTCTGAGCACACTGGAATAGCTAGAAATGCAAATTTTTTTCCCAGCACTTTTATAAATCACATTCAAATCTGATCAAATTTTCCCTAAAAGAGCATTCTCCTTCTTGTGGATCTGATGCACACCTGAAGTACAAAACTGTGGATCTGTTGTAATACACAACTAGAAAAAACTCTTTGCAAGAGTAAACAGACCCAAGCAACTGCTTCCAACTTAGTCAACCAATGATGAGAAAGTTGTGGCGGCAAAGCTTGCCCAGTATTTAGCAAGAAATTTGCTCCTCTACCTGCTCTAAATGTGCCTGCCTGGTTGAATTCTGCCCACTGACCTCTGGCCCTGGATGGAAAATGTGCTCAGTTGTTTCCAGGGAAGGAATATCACTCCCTAACACAGGAGCCCTCAGCAGCCAGATAATAATTTCTTTCCCTAACCTGGAATTCTATTCTATCTCTTTGGAGTAGACTGCTAAAACTGCTCAAGCCGGTCTTTTGAGTAGTATTTTGTCGTCAAGACTGGTCACAGTCTGAAAGATGAGCAATAACAGACCCAAAAAGGAGAAATTGCCCATATTTCTGATCGAGGTCTTAAGACTTTGAGGTGGGAACGGGGAAAAAGTAAGTGGAGAGTTTATAGGCTCCATCTCTGAAAGTGACCTGTGCAATCAAGTTTGGAGCCTGGGGGACGGGGAGCACCAGAAGGTGGTGAGGATTTTAGGCTGCTGGGGCAGTTGGAATTTGGAAGGGCACGAACTAGCACCCAGGACCAGTAGCAAGGACTTGGAACTCTCTGGTTAAAACGTTGGCAGTCCGAGTCCCAGGAAAGGCTTCAGATTTAGGGCAGCCTTTTCCATAAACAGGGCCCTGGGATCCAAGAACGCAGAGCAACTCAGTGCCCTGGGCCTAAAGGCTACGTATCTGGAAAGAGAAACTTACCGCATGTCTCCATAAGGTCCGGAGTAACTCTCCATCCAGGGTCCCATCTCGCTTTTGACACAACTGGAACTGGGATAGGGTATTCTACTGGCCACACCACCAGGGTACCACATATCGGGTGGCGGGAAATCGCCTTCCTGGCCCGCCAGCCCCTGAGGTGGCCGAGCATAGCCATAGGGGGCTACAGCCCCTGCCTCGCCTGCGCTGCCACCGCCACCCCCTCCACACGATCCATACAACTGGCCTTCTTCGGCTGTGAAAAGAGTGTGCCAGGAAGATGAGGCAGCGGCTGAGGGCGACCCGGAGCTAGGTCCTGCGGCACCCGCACCATGCAGGCTTGCCAGGTCTCCATATCGGCATTGTGCTGCCGCGGCAGCCCAAGCGCTGCCATAGTCCAGCGGGTTCTCCAGCTTGATGCGGGCGTGAGGATGGGAAGGCGGTGGAGGTGGTGGAGGCCCTGCTAGGGCCAGTGGAAAGTTGTAGTAGTCGCGACTCTGGTATGCTGCTGCCTCGTCCAGTGCTCCGGACTTGTAGAGCGAAAGAGTGGAGGGCAGTTCAAGGGTCCCAGAGCTCCCCACTTCGCTGCTGCTAGAGCAGACCAGGCTTTCTCCCTCAGGTCCTTTGGTGTAACCTTCCTTGAAAGAATATTCAACAGTCTCTTCAGAGCCCTTGCTTGGGCTGTCGTCCAGCACAGAGCCTTTGCATTCTACCAGGGGGGCACAGTGAGTGGGTCGCACAGCAGGTGGACCTCCCAGGAGCGGTGCATACATGCAGTCTCCTCGAAGCTGTTCCACAGGACTGAGATGCTCCAACGCCTCCACACCTAAGCCCATGGACACAGACACTGCCCTACACAACTCCTTGGCGCTGTCAGATATGGTCGAATTGACCCCTAGGTAACTGTCCTTGGAAGAAGTGGAAGCCCCAACCGCCTCTCTTGCTCGCCGGCTGCTGCTGCTTTCGGAGGCCACTTCCAGCTGCTGTTGCGGCTGCTGTTGCTGCGACTGCGGCGGCGGCGGCTGCTGCTGCTGCTGCTGCTGAAGGAGTTGCATGGTGCCGGCTTCGCTCAGGATGTCTTTAAGGTCGGCGGAGCAGCTGCTTAAACTGGAGAAAGTGGGCCCCAGCAAGGACAACGTGGATGGGGCAGCTGAGTCATCCTCGTCCGGAGGTGCTTGCGGCTGCCGCGGCAACCCCTTACTGGAGGGCACAGAGGTTCCAGGCTCTGAGAGGCAGCCCCTCTCTGAGTGGCCCTCGGGGGTTGATTGCTGTTGTAAAGACTGCTGTTCCTCCTCCAGGGCCAAGTATCTTGTGGGGCCTCTGGGGTGAGCTCGGGGAGAGCCATTCTCACCATGCTGCGGTTGCTGGGGGCTGGTCTGCTGCTGCTGCAGCAGCAAATGGGCTCCGCGAGCGGCTGCATTATGGGCTTCAGGGTGCCGGGGACCCGGGGTCTGGATCACTTCGCGCACACTCTGGAACAAATTCTGGAAAGCTCCTCTAAAGGTCTTGGACGGTGGCCGGGGATAGACCCTCCCCAGCCCTAACTGCACCTCCATCCTTGAGCTTGGCTGAATCTTTGATCCAATTTCCTTGCCCTGTCTGTCTCCTCTTTTCTTGCTCAGAAGAGTTCAACAGGCTGTGATGATGCAGTCAGTAGTCGCCGCAGCTAGTTGCCCACCTGCGGAAAGCTCCAGGAAAGAAAACTTGCAGGAGCAAAACCAAACCAAATCAAACCAAAACAAACCAAACCAAACCAAAACAAAACAAAACAAAAACAAAAGAACCAAAAGAAGCAAAAAAGGCTCTGACAGCCTCAAAGTCGCATACAGAGGAAGACACGAGCTGGGCAGGATAAGTCCTACCAGGCTCTCAGTCTGCCCCTGAATACTTAAAGGGTAGATTCAAAAGTCGTTCAAAAATTTGGGGAGAGGGTCCTCTGCCTTCCAAATTCAATGTCCAGTGAAGCAGGTGCAAATAATACTTGCGCTATTTTCTTTTGGTTTTGTTTTGGATATCTTTTTTGTTTTGTTTTGCGTAATACTACTTAAGCCCTGACAGTCTTTTCATCTTTTGATTTCTGCCTCCGCACTCTTGAGTGGGGGTTGGGGGAGGTAGGAGGAGGTGGAGAGGGGCTGTAGGGGACCAAGGGGCACTCCCTGCGTTCTGCTTAACGAGCCAGGTCCTGGCTACAGCTCTGAAGCCCAAGCTGTTCCCTAGTCTCCAGGCTCCCTACAGCCTTCTTTGCAACGTGCAACTAGCTCACCGGCTCTCAGCCTAAGGGAGTTACCTCTCTGCAAACTAGCTGGCAGCGCCGTGCAGACTGGGGGTGAAGAGGAGAGGTGGGGGCTGACGGAGTGTAGCGGGCAGAGGCAGTTGTAGGAGAGGAGGGGGGGAGGGGAGGAGGACAAAGGCAGCGGTCAGTCCTACCCGGCACTTTCCTGGCTTCCTCCTAGTCTCTAGCAGCTTTTAGAAACTTCACCGAAAAGAAAAGGGCTCCGGGGCGGCGGCTGGAAGCCGCCGCGCTGCAACAGGCTTTGGCAGCGGTCTCAGCAGAGCAGGGGCTGGCGCGGTGCGTTCCTTCGGCTCCTGTTTGCCACCGGAGCGGCTAGCTGGCCCTTTTTCCCTCGCCTCCTCCGCCTCCAGGCTTGCACCGGACCCTCCAGCTCTCCCAGCAGACTGGCTCCCCGGGATCTCTGAGGGGGCGCTGGGAGGTGAAGAGCAAATGCAACAGTTTGCAAGTCGGTCCCGCCCCCGCCAGGCGGGCCTCCTAGCCTTCCCACCTACTTTCTCCCTCCCCTCCGCTTTCCTTTTCTCCCCTCCCCTCACCGCAAGCTAGCAGTGTGTGGCTTTGGAGAAACAAGTGCTGGTTCCATGTGGGTGAGGGCCAGAGAGGCTCTCTCTAGCCCTAGGAGATCCCTGCTGCTGAATACCCCTTACTTTCCTGTACTACATTTTAGGCAACAGGGAAGAAGCTTTATCCTGGAGCTTTATTTTAAGGACAGGGCTACCAGATGTTCAGAAGACCAGCACTCACCAGATTTGATTCCAAAGGCCATTTCCAAAACAGAGGCTTGGGGAGGGAGCGGGTTGGAGCACTTATTAATGTCTGCCAGGAGTTCTTTTCAGGGCCTATAGGGTCCTATACAAGGGAAAGTCTCCAACATACACATTAAGGGACAAGGTACAGCCATGCCTGCAGATATTTAGTAAAACCTTTAAAATCCTCCAAATAGGAAGATTGGACCTGGTGACAAGATACCATTTGCTTTAGAAACCCTCCGACCTAAGAAACAGAGTTCATTTCTACTGTTTTCTGCCCCCTTTCCTTTCTGCAATTGCCTCTAAACAGCATTTCTCATCTATGCAAACTTGCAAGGAAAAACTCACCCAGACAAGCAGGCAAACACACAAATACCAGAAGGACTTGCCCTGTATACACGGGTACTTGGTTTTATCCAGACCATTGCAAACATTTACTTGCATACAAGCTAGTGAATTTCTAGGCTGTTTGCATATTTTAAATTTTCTAAGGGTCCAATTCAACGAATGCAACCTATTTATGGCTGCTTTGTGGAGGAGTTCCCACAGTCCCTGTGTAAAGATGAAGAGACAAAGTGAGAATGGAAAGGTAGAGGAGATGGAGGGTAGGCTTGGAAGCAAGATGTCCTACCAAGAAAGCTCTAGGCCCTCCTAGCTTTTAAATTCCTTAGATCTCTGCATCTGCACAGGGTCTCTATATTCCAAATCACACCGGGAGATTTTCTCCTGAGACTCTTCCCACTTTTTGTAGGCTTTTACAGAAGAAAAAAGACTATAGTTTTATGTATTATAGAACAGCAACACATCATGTATATTTACTAACTTTGACCGAAGGAGGTAATTCAAACCTAGAGGAAAAGAGTGAATATGATCGGCTCTGTTTTACAGATAAATAAGCTAAAGCAAAGATATAATTTGCTCCTGTGTTTCACATTAGTAAAACTTAAACTAGTCTTCTACTTCATTGCTATATTTGCTAGACTCATCAATTTCATCACCTGGGAAATGGCTGTAAATGAACCTTCTAGAACACAAATGCCAGAGGACCTTTTCTCTGAGAGGAGCTGAAATTTCATCTGTTAAGATTTTAGTGGTTGAAGCCCTACCTGGGCATATCAGTCATTCCTTCTTTTTTGGTGAGGTATGTCACAGATGACTCATTAAGCTGAAGGAGCAGTCTTATAAGATATTTTCAAAATAAGTCATAGCCAGGCATGGAGGCACACAGCTGTAACACTCTGGGAGGCTGGAGGCAACAGTGTCACAATTTAAACCAGGCCTGAGCAACTTAATGACTTAGTGAGAACTTGTCTCAAAAAGAGCTTGGTGCAAAGTTCATGAGTTCAATCCCTAATATCACAAAATAAATAAAATAAAATAAGTTAAGGTGAGAAATAATTCTATAAAGTTACCCTTTGAATAAATGGCAGCCTAAGAGACATTCTAATCCAGATTAGAAGAATACTAAAGTTTATATTGCCTCCAGAGGACCAAAGTTGTCATCACAGTTTCAGAAAATTGCAGTTAATTGTAATTTCCCTCAGAAAGGGGGTATAAAATCTAAGAGATAGTGTCTAAATGAAACTTGCAAATAGGAAAGCATTCTAAAAATCTGAAGAATCATTTTTTAAATGTGGAATAAACTATCAATTCTATCAGTATCGGGAAAGCTAACTACTGTAAGCATAGCCCCTGCTTTGTGTATTTAATTTATGTATTTAATTATTTATTTTAGTACTGGGGGGGGTTGAACCTAGGAGTTTTGCACTGAACTATATCCCCAGCCCTTTTGAAAAAATTTGAGACTTGGTCCCACTAAGTCACTAAGTTGGCTGGGTTGGGATTTAACTTGTGGTCCTCTAGCTTCAGCCTCCAAGAGTGGGGGGATTATAGGCATGTGCCAGCAACCTCAGCCTTTATTTGAATTTTAAACATTGATCTCACCATCTCGAATCTTATTTTCTTTACATTGTTAAGATAGAGACAGCTATTGAAGGATATTACATAAATTCAGTATATGTACTAGATTTCTTCTTTCTTTTTTTCTTTCTCCTCTTATTTTTTGCAATTTTTTTTTTTTTTTTTTTTTTTTTTTTTTTTTTTTTTTTTTTTTTTTTTTTTTTTAGCAGTATCAGTGGTATCCTCTCAGTTCAATCTAGTTGTGACTAAATTTCTGTTATGGGCTTCCTCTGTAACTTCAAGCAGATTTTGTTAATGGCATATTCTCCTTTTAATCTGGAAAACCGGAGTGAACTGATCTTTGGAAAATGTTGAACATTTTTCAAGTTCTGTGAATTTTATTTTCCAAATATGTCACAAATCTGGTTATTTCTCTTTATGTCTCATATTTCTGAACTGATTCAAGGCATTTCTTTGCCTATAAAACCACTATAAATGGTCTCTCTGCTTCTATTCTTACTTTATCACAGTGGTTTCTACATTTAGCAATCAGAAGTATGTTTCTAAACAACCCTATTAGGGTATAGTTGACATGTAATAAACTCCATATATTTAAATTACAAATTACTAGATATTTAGAAGTTATTAATAACATACAAAAATGCATGAAATCATCACCCAGTTAAGACAGTGAATGAAGGTTTTCATCATTTAAAAGGTTTGTTCTGTTTTTCTTCCCTTCACCCCTTCCGCTCAGGCATATGTTCTATCAATACAGATGAGTTTTCACTTCCTAGAATTTTATATCAATGGAATCATTATCTGTCTTTATCTTTCACTGATCATAATGTCTATGAAATCTATCCAAGTTGTTAGGTATATGACTACATATTTTTCTGTATTGCTAAATAGTATTCCACTGTGTTGCTGGACTACAATTTTGTTTATTCACTCACTTGATGAAAGACACTTGGATTCTCTATGGTTTGAGCTTACTGCAAATAAAGATGCTATGAACATTCATACCAAAGTCAGACATGTACTTTCATTTCTCTTAGGTAAATAAATACTTAATAGTGGAATGGATGAGTCACACGATAGGTATATATGTACCTTTTAAAGAAATGGTCAAACTGTTCTGAAGTGGTTATACCAGTTTACATTTCCACCCATATATGAGAATTCCTGTTCTTCTACATCTTCACCAACATTTGGTGTGGTCAATATTTTTATGTTAGCATTCTAATTAGATGGCTAAATATTTCTCATTTAATTTGCAGTTATCCAGTGAATAACAATATAGGGCATTTTAGGCCCTTATTTTTCATTTGTATATTTTCTCAAACATTCTGCTCAAATTTTTACCTGTTTTTAAAAATTGGTCAGCTTCTATTTTATTATGAAAACTTTTAGAATAATTTATATACTCGGAAAACAAGTTATAACAGAAATAAGAATTAACAAATGTTTTCTGTGTTTTTTATTCATGTCTCACCCATAGCTTTAAAGAGCAGACATTTTTAATAAGTCACACATGTGTAAATACCGAATAGTTTCTCTGGTATGAATAAACTGTAATAGTACATAAGATCCTGATGAGATAACTGACATTGTGAAATGGGAAGAAAAGGGTTAAAGGTGTAGGGAAAGTGGGAAGGGTAGGGGAAACGTAATAAGGGAAAAGAAAAAATAGGAGAAAATGAAAAAGTGGAAATAAAGTGTTTGTAAGTGGGAAGGGGAGGAGGGGGTGAAGGGAGGGCAGGGACAAGGGGAAAAAGTAAGAACCAAGACCTGTCATGTAGAGGTTCGGGATCCCATTGATGAATGTAACTGTACTGTATACGTGAAATGTAACAGTTAACTCAATTTAAAAAAAAGAGCATACATTTTTAATTCTGACGAAGTCCAATGCATTAATTTGTTCACTTATGAATCATACTTT